GCGAGGCGCGGCGGCAGAGCAAGCCCAAGGGGTACGCGGTGAGCGTCCACTACTCGGCCCTCACCTCGCTGGCCCGCGCCTGCCCCGAGAGCGCCCTGCACCGCGTGGGCAGCATGTTCCGCTCCAAGCGGCGGAAATTCCGCGTCACCAGCGAGGACCCCACGTACACCGTGCTCTACCTGGGCAACGCTACCACCATCCAGTCCAAGGGCGAGGGCTGCACCGACCTGGCCGTCTGCAAGATCTGGAGCAAGAGCGAGGCGGGCCGGCAGGGCACCAAGATGAAGCTGACCATCAGCGCGCAGGGCATCCGCATGGCCCACGCCGAGGACAAGGGGCTGCGCCGGCCCGGCCACCTCTACCTGCTGCACCGGGTCACCTACTGCGTGGCCGACCCGCGCCTGCCGCGCGTCTTCGCCTGGATCTACCGCCACGAGCTGAAGCACAAGGCGGTGATGCTGCGCTGCCATGCCGTGCTGGTCTCCAAGCCCGAGAAGGCGAAGGCCATGGCCCTGCTGCTCTACCAGACCTCGGCCACGGCGCTGGCCGAGTTCCGCCGCCTGAAGAAGCGGGACGACGCGCGGCACCAGCAGCAGCAGCTGGTGGGCGAGCAGAGCATCCCGCTGGTGCCGCTGCGCAAGCTGCTCAACGGGCAGTGCTGCTACAAGCCGCCGGTGGAGCGGAGCCGCAGCGCGCCCAAGCTGGGCTCCATCACGGAGGACCTGCTGGGCGAGGAGCAGGAGGAGCGGGCCATGCACTGCGACTGCGAGGACATCCTGGAGGCGCTGGGCGAGCCCGGGGGCGAGCTGCTGCGCCCTGGCGCCGGCCGCGGCGAGGGCCCGGAGCTGGGCCAGCTCCTCCGCGACCTGGGCGAGCTCAGCCTGGGCAACGACCTGCGCGCGCTGCGCGCCGACCTCCGCGTCCGCCGGCTGCTCTCCGGCGAGAGCACGGGCAGCGAGTCCTCCCTGGAGAGCAACGGCCCGGACGGCGCCGCCCCGCCCTGCAACGGCGCCGAGCAGCCGCCCCCCCGCGCCC